ATGAACATCATTAACAATACAGAACCCAGTACTGATTCCTGTGGAATGCCTTTGGACATTGAGCTCCAGTTACACAAACAGCCTTCTACACCACCCTCTGTCTCCTATCTCTAAACCAATTGTGGGTCCATTTTACCATGTTAACCTAGATCCCATGCACTTTTACATTCTTTGTTTCCTATGTGAAACCTTGACAAAGGCTTTGCTGAAAACCACAGCAACTGGCCTACCCTCATCAATCAAACACTTGGTCACTTCCTTGAAAAATTCTACCAGATTTGTTAGGCATGACCTCAATCTGACAAAGTCATGCTGACCATCCCTGATCAAATTCTGAAGCAGCAACTTAGCCAGCTGTGTTTCTAGGTTTCTACTTTCATCAGGCTGTTACCTGTATATTGATAAAATTGTCATTGAGACGCGATTATAACCAGGCTGCTGTAGCTTTTTCATGAGGCTGAAGAGAACCAAATCTGGCAGTACGGTGAAGAGACCTGAATGGGACTTTTGTTTGCTTTCCTCTGCAGATTGAGGAGAACAAAGTATGTTGATGGGTGCACCAAAGCTTATTGAAAATAATTTGTAAAAGACTCAACAAACTTAGATTGCACTTGATATGCTTATAAGAGTCAACAGAAGAACTTTATGAAGCTTCTTCTTTCTTACATTGCAGGCAAGAATAATCAAACAGCCATGTGAACAAGGCAGAAATAAAAACAGCTCTCTTTTAAAATTCAATGGAGCAAACTATCTACTTTAATCTATCAAAAAAATGAACTTGGATTTTAGCTGCAATATAAACTTCAACAGCGTGTATATAGGAATAATAAATCGTAAGCAATATAGAGAACAGTAGTGAATGTTATGTCTGAAAGTTGCAAAGCCATCATCTAATTATATATTGGGATCAAAAACAAAGTTGCTGGAGAAGCTCACCAGTTCTGAGGAAGGGTCACCGGACCCGAAACGTTAACTGTTTTTTCCTTCACAGATCCTGCCAGACCTGCTGAGCTTCTCCAGCAACTTTGTTTTTGTTCCTGATTTAAGCATCTGCAGATTTTTTTGGTTTTTATCTATTATATATTAATTAGGGTAGTGCCCTTCCAGTCAGTATCTTAACACAATATAATGAATTGTTATAAATAAGCTGAACCAAAACTACTGGCCCACAATGAACATACAGAAATCTCAACCATTAGACTTGCATGTAAAATCCATGATCCTGATGATCTGAAAATAATCAAAATGCATAGAGAAGTGCAACATTATATGGACGTATCAGCCCCACTTTAAGGACATAAGAAATGGGAGTAGGAGTAGGCATCTGGCTCCTCAAACTGGCTTTGCCATTCAAGAAGGTCATGACTGATGTTTTCATGGACTCAGCTCCACTTACCCGCCCATCCAGTGCTCCCTCGATTACTGTTCTATATCTCAATCCCCTTGATCCCCTTTATCCACTTCCTCCAATCTCCGATTTCCCTTTGTTTCCCATTCCACGCTCCTCCACTCTTTCTGATTAGCTGCCCCATTACCTCACACCTGATTTTCCTTTAGTTGTGGAGACTGCATGGATCTTTAAGTTGATGGACAGGATTCTGATTGAGAAGTCCTACCCCCATTTCCAACAGATCCCATTTTGCTAGTAAGGTAAAGGGGTGAGGGTGTGATTGCCAGATGTGAGAATGCTGAACTCATCAGGACCTATGTAATCAACTAATACCAACAGATATCGATAGACCCAATACCATAGTTAGAGAAATGGATTAAAACAGCCCTGAAAAAATTACCTAACTCCGGAGATATCAGCAAGACAGACTACCAAAAAATGAAGCCAGAGGGATCCAACATACCCTGCTTCTATGGACTCCCTAAGGTACACAAGTCAGGAGTCCCATTGTCTCACTACCAGGCACACCAACATATAGACTAGCCAAAAAACTACAATGGAAACTAAAATACTTAATTGACAGCACTACCCACTCCTTCCAAGAATTCCTCAACATCATCAAGGACACCAGAAATCTGAGACAAGGTGAGAGGTTAAGGCAATGGACTGTTAATCTATTTGGGTGGCACGGCCGCTCAGTGGTTAGCACTGCTGTCTCACAGCGCCAGCGACCTGGCTTTGATTCCACCCTTGGATGACTGTCTGTGTGGAGTTTGCACATTCTGCCCGTGTCTTCGTGGGTTTCCTCCCAAAGTCCAAAGCTGTGCAGGTTAGGTGGATTGGCCATGCTAAATTGCCCATTGTGTTCAGCGATGTGTAGACTAGGTGGGTTATAGGGGGATGTGTCTTGGGGGGATGCTCTGAGGCTCGGTGTGGACTTGTTGGGCACTTGGGCTTGTTTCCACACTGTAGGGATTCTATGAATAGAAGAGGACGAGATAATGATATCCTTCAACATAACAGCACTATTTACATCCATAAACATCGAGCTAGCCAAGCTGTTCCAGTACAATTACAAGATTGGTACTACTGACAATGTGGAAAATTGCCCAGGTATGTTCTGTACGCAAAAAGCAGGACAAATCTAAACCAGCCAGTTACTGCCTCATCAGCAGAGTGATGGAAGATGTCATCAGTACTTCTATCAAGCAGCATCTGCTCAGCAATAACCTGCTCAGTGAAGCCCAGTTTGGGTTCTGCCTGGATCACTCAGTTCCTGACCTCATTACAGCCTTGGTTCAAACATGAACAAAAAAGCTGAATTCCAGACGTGAGGTTAGAGTGACAGCCCTTGACATCAAGACTGCATTCGACCAAGTGTTGCATCAAGGAACCCAAGCAAAACTGGAATCAATGGTTATCAGGGGGCAAACTTTCTGGTGGTTGGGGATATACTTGGCACCCAGGAAGATGGTCGTTGTTGTTGGTCGTCTGTCATCTCAGCTGCGGAACAGCTGTGCAGGCATTCGTCAGCTCTTCGGCTGTTTCATCAATGACCTTCCCTTCCATCTTAAGCTCAAACGTGGGGATGTTCGCTGATGATTGTACAATATTCAGTACCATTCACAACACCTCAGATATTGAAGCAGTCCATGTTCAAATGCAACAAGATCTGGACAATATTCAGGCTTGAGCTGACAAGTGGCAAATAACATTCACGCCACACAAATGCCAGGCTATGACCATCTCCAATAGCAGACAATCTAACCACGTCCCCTTGACATTCAATGGTGCTACCATCGCTGAATCCCCCACTATCGATATCCTGGGGGTTATCATTGACTAGAAATTCAACTAGACTCATCACATAAACACAGGTCAGAGGCTTGGAATACAATGGCGAGTAACTCACCTCCTGACTTTTCAAAGCCTGTCCACCATCTATAAGGTATAAGTCAGAATACTCCCCACTTGCCTGGATGAGTGCAGCTCCAACAACGCTCAACAGCTTGACACCATCCAGGACAAACCTGCCCACTTGATTTTGCACTACATCCACAAGCATCCACTCCCTCCACCATCAACGCTCAGTAGCAGACGTGTACTGTCTACAAGGTAGAAATTCACCAAAGATCCTCAGACAGTACCTTCAAAATCCACGACCACTTCCATCTAGAAGGATAAGGGCAGTAGATACATGGGAACACGACAAACATCAAGTTTTCCTCCAAGCCACTCACCATCCTGACTTGGAAAGCTAGCGCCATTACTTCACTGTCACTGGGTCAAAATCCTGGAATACTCTCTCTAAATGGCATTGTGGGTCCACCCATAGCAGGTGGACTGCAGCAGTTCAAGGCAGCAGCTCACTACACCTTCTCAAGGGCAACTAGGGACAGGCAGTAGATGCTAGCCAGCCAGTGACGCCCACATCCCGCGAATGAATAAATAGGAAAATAGGCATTCAACTGCATTTCCATGGGTATTCAGTGTAAGGTAGATAGGAAAAGCCCCTTGCAATCAGCAGGGGAGTACTGAATAACTGATGCAGGAGCTAAAGCCTGGAATATGGCTGAATAAGACATATTGTGAAGGCCCAACGATAAGTGATGAAGGGTGCTGGTAAACATCGTGAGATCTTCGCATGACATAAAAGCAGTTATGGACTGATCCTGCAATCACATGATTAACCTGATTGGATTTGTATGTAGTCAATTAATAATATAATTGTTTTATAACAGCCAAAAGTGGGCTAAAAGCAAATATACAAAAGTAACCGGCATCTTGAGTGATTCATTGAGTCATTCTGCCCCAACAAATGTAATAGATACTTCGAGCTTTATTTCATTTCATTTCAATGTGACTCCTGAGGTCTATCCATTGTTGATCCATTGTAGTTCTTAGAGCTAAAGCGATAAAAAGATTTGAGGAGAAAGTGGGAACAGGGTACAGAGTTGGATGATCAACCATGATTATATTGAATAGTGGAACAGGCTCAAAGGGTTGAATGGTCTACTCCTGCGCCTATTTTCTAATGTTTCGATGTGATGGGGAGACCGGTCATGGATAGGTGGCAAGGCTACATGCTTCACTGAACAATTCCCAACCCTCTTCCTATTGGCATGGTTGTAAGATCTAGCCTTAAGAATACTTCTCATATATATGTGATTCATTGTAATATTTCTACTTAAATTGTTTCCTCTTAACTTTCAATAAAACTGCTGGTATTATCATGGATAGGGTTTTCTTAATACAGTTCAATTGTATCTAGTCACAAGGATTTTTTTTTTCGTTTTTTACTTTCATGTTTGACTACCAAAAGGGTTCATATAGTGCTTAAAAACTGTAATCTTTTTTCTACAAAATATCAACTCGAACATGAATTTATAATAGGTGTGTGTGATATAGCACAAGAAATTTCACCCGAATATCTGAATAAATGTACGATTTTGAACCTTTTTTAATGCTTATTGATCTTTCTACCAAATTATTCCTGTAGTTCTTGGGGAAATTCTAGATCTTATCCATAAACATCTCCAGTATATGTAATCAGGTACTTTTGACTTCTTTTGATTAATCCTGTGTATTTCTTTCTGTTTTTTTTCACCAGGTGCCACAGCTATCTTAATTCCGAGACTTGATTTAGTAATTTCATTTGTTGGAGCAGTCAGTAGTAGTGCTTTGGCTCTCATCTTTCCCCCCTTGCTGGAGATCATCACTTTTTCTGGAGAAGGAATCTCTGTCTGGTTGCTCCTTAAAGACATCTTTATTGCATTGATTGGAATCATTGGCTTCCTGACTGGAACATATGTGACTGTTGTGGAGATCATCTACCCAGATACAGCATCAGTAGTTAAGCCTACTACAAGTTCTTCCATCTACTTTAACTCTACTATATTGAATTCTTGGGCCAATAATTCAAGCTTATGAGCAAAAAGTACTTTGGAGCTGCTATATTTCGAGGAATTATGGGAACTATCTACAACTATGTAGCTTAGAAAACAATGAGTGAAAATGGAAATACTACTTAAATTGAATGCTTAAGCTGTTCACTACAATTTCAAGGATCTTACATACTTGCATGTAAGACATAATAGTTGTTGAGAATTTGGTTGTAGCTGCTTTGTAAATTATTTTTGTGTTGGTTGTGTGTTTGGCTCAATAAAGTAGGCACTTTGTATAATGTGACAATGCTGCTCTGTGGCAGTTGTATATAAAGGTGGGTGACATAGGTTGGCATGCAGGTTGTTTTCCCCCTTTGCTTGTGAGATGTATTTTTTCTGCTCAACATCTCTCTAATGCTATGCCAGAAATAGGAACATGACTGAAGAGTTGTAAAATTGAAACAATGTATTCCTTGGTGCAGTACATGATATATTTTATCCCAGTTCTTTTGTATCATATATTTTAACCATAAGGATTAAGTCAGAGATAATGTAAAAACATATTGATTTACCCAGTGAAAATTGGGAGAAGGAGTATGACAGTGTTCTCATAAAATTTTTGTAGTACTCCCCTCTGATTCTGTCATCCTGTAAACTACACAGTGTAATACCTGTCCCTTCAGAGTATTAGGATAACAGCAGAACACCCAATCCAGCAGAATTAGCGCAATTAACCTCCTGTAACACTTCAAATGTGCTCTGCTGACGCCCTCCACTCCTGAACTTCTCCAAAATAAAATGTTTTGAGAAATTTGGCAACAAATGAAATCTGGTTTTATTCAGACATTTGGAGACGGAAAGGACTGCAGATGCTGGAAGCTAGAGTCAATAAATGTGAAGCTGGAAAAGCACAGCAGGTCAGACAGCATCAAGGAGCAGGGATTTCAATGTTTCAGTCCAAAACCCTTCGTCAGGACGGAGTCTGGTTCTATGCAGTAGCCTTCACGTGAGTATCGTGCATAAGTTCAAAGCTAATATGGTATCAGCCCAGCAACTCCAGCTGAAACTTGCTACACTCCAGTTCTTAGACCTATGGTTTGAACTCAACCTTCAGTGACGTCCACATATGAATTTTATCAATTATAACTTTTTTCAAGTTTTCCATTGAATCTCAATATAGACCATGCAAATAGTTGGTCTAACACATGGGGGGGTGGGTGTGGTTGAGAAGTAAAGGAGTAGAAATTATTGTATGGACATGCCAGCTCACTACGCTGTATGAGATACTGTTTATGAGGAGGGTTGCTGCCATCATCTTCTTTAAGCATAGGAAACTCTAGGGCCTAATTGGTCGATGAAAACCACTTCCTGGTCTAGTAGAAGACTTTTTACTAAGTTACCAAGATATAGTTTATTGCATGTTAGCAACTAGTTATAGGTTACATTGGTATAATAGATAATGTTACAGAGACTCTGAGGAGGACCAGATGTTGGGTCACACTCCCTCAAGATTCTAAATTGTTTCCACCCCATATGTTCATATGATAACATAGTAGATCATGCTTGTACATGCCTCAGCATTAACTCTTTCAGTTACAAATACAACTGAAATCCTCAAAGAATGATACCATGTTTCTCATATTGATACCACTTACTAAGGTATTCAACTTCATTTGTGCCACCAGATACCAGAATGGTGTTTAAAGACAACAAAAGCAGGAATATTAAAAGTTAGAAATTAAAGCAAGTACTATTGTAGACAATATCTGCAACTGTTTGATTGAGCTCTAATCTTCTAATATAGATTGTAACTTTTTGATTTGTTCACTAACTTGTAATCTATGTAAAATCTCCTTTGCAACAACTGTTGTTTTTGTTCCAATATACAGTTTAATATGGAGTGCCTATGGAAAAGGGAACAGACTTAGAAAAATACAGATTTCCGAATAAAAATGTAAATGTTGTCACTAATAATATAATACTATTGAAATTTAGTTGTCATTGGGCTCTATAGAGGAGTTGGGATTAAAATAAGGTTAAATATTTCCTTCTTAAATTAACAAAATAGTCATGTTTGTCAGAAGAAAAAGATCAGCAGATAGTTATTTGAGTGTGTAGAACTTTCTCATTGCTAAGATTAATGAGAATAACATTTAGCTATTTTAGAAATAAGAGTGTAGAGATATCCATCTGCTTAAGGACTCAATTTATGTCATGTTTTTACAAATAACCATTATTAGCAATTGCTGCTTATTCTGCTAAAATAAACTGAAGTACTGTATTTGATCATTCTAAAATTGCCCCCACAGCAGTCAGGAAAAAAGGATGCCCTAGAGTTATTTAAATGATATTCGGCTTCATTCAAATAAGTCATCTGTTAGTAACTTTGGACTGACAGGGGACTTCTAAACCTACTTCTGCTTGTATTGGTTGCTCAAAAGAGTTCAAAATTGTCCTGAGTTATTTATGGGAATGTAGAACAATTTCTGCTCTGGGACTGGTGAATAAAGTTACTCTGCCAACAGGAGTATGTGGTTCAGTGCACCACTGGGGCTGCGAGAGGAGTAATTTGTTAATTAGCAGCACATTATAGCATCAAGCAGTAATGATGCTGTAATTATCATTCACTCTGCACAAAAAAAGCAAAACAAATTCATCACTTTTCTCAGTGGAACAGCAAGGCAGAAAGATAGTTCCAGGCTCCACCAAGAAAACTGACTTCCTCAGGTCTAGGGCATAATTACCTACATCCTTATAGCCTTGCATGCTCCATATAAAGAAATTGGAATGTACATAAACAGGAAGGACTTCCATTGACTGACCACCAGGAACCTAGAGGAGTGTTACCTTTGGAGTCACTCCTCTATAGATCTCTAGCTGACAAGCAATTAGAGTTAGGAAACAAAGGTTTCACTGTCAATACAGGTGTTCAGGCATTCTGCAATATAACCTTGAGAGCCAGTGTCCAGAATCACTGTAATTTATTGCATGCTCTATAATTTTGCCCTACAAAAGTGGAGGCAGCATTCAAGACCAAGATAAATAGTCAAATCAAGATTGTCAAGGAAGACCAGCCACTACCAAACCTGCCAGACTAATATAATAAATGCTTTGTTAGAATTGTCACCATTCTCTCGCACCAACAGTCTTTCCTACCATCAGCCTGATAAATATCTCCTGCTTCAGCATAGGTACTGGAACTTTCTCGCGACCAAATACCCATGAGACCAAAGAAATTGCACGGGAACAAAATGGTCCAAAATGGTTCTCTTTACAGTTCAGAACAAATAATGTGGAAAATGAACTATCATCTTGAGACAAATCCCGACCACCTGTCTTAACAATGCTTTCAGCTAATCTGGTGCCGTTACAAGAATATACCCTAATGACTCAGGCATGTAATTAGTTTAGCAATTTGGTTGGAGAGCAGGTATGCAATCATTCGGAGACAGAAGTGTATGTGTTTCAGTCATGATGACACAGTCCTGCTACCCTGCAGGAGAATACAGTGTATTGGTGATGTGACGATTTGATTGCACTTTGGGCCTTAAAAGTTGGAGAAAATGTTGGAATCTAGAGCCATCAAAGCAGGAGCCTGAGCTCCCATTTGTCATCAGAGCTCCATGACCGACGGCCTTGGTACAGTGCTCAGAGATGATCAAGTATTCCATATTTACTGCATTGGTTCTAAGCCTTCTGCACTGATACTACATAAATTGGGAGCTGTCTTTTTCTGAATGTCAAATATTTTATGAAGACTTCTTGGCAGACAGTCTGATACATTGAACGTTTGGGTGGTCAAATTAGCAGTCATCTTTATATGTATCATTTACAACCATACTAGGATGCAAATTCACCCTCCAACGAGCTGTTGCTTGGGCCTGCACACTTAAATATCGTTGCATAGTATGACTCACTGTATACAATGCCCTCCAACTGAGCCTTTAACTAAAAGAGATGACAATTTCTGACCTGACGCCTACAAGGCAGTTTTGTCTTCCTCCTCTGCTGAAACTACACCCATTATTTGTGATGGATTAGGAAACAAAAATAGGGGAGTTAACCGAAGCAATCGAGTGGCAGCAATATCATTTCAAACTGTTTCATATGAGGAAAAAAACAAAATCAGAAGAGAAAAAGGTGACACGAGTACAGACCTTAAGTAGCATGTCCTCTAGCCTCGACAAGTGTGATGTTCTTGATGTGTGCTCTAGCAACTAACTTCAGTGCAGACTCTTTCAGCGAGCTCAGGACTTGTGAAGATAATGGCCCTCCACCTGTATTCTCCTATTTCTTGGTATTATATGCCAGTCAGTCCTACAAAATAAAAGAAAATGTGCTGGTGTGTGGCAGGCTGGAAGGTTTGAAAGGGATTCATGTCAACATTGTATATGTTTTTGAAAGATTCCATAGGTGTGGGTACAGGATGTTATTTGCACCATTGTAGAAGGTGCAAAGTTAACCAGTAACATCAGTAGAAGATTAAATGGAGTGTGTGGACTGAATGAATGAGAGGAGTTGCTAAGCGGAGTCAGAAGACTAGAGCTAAACCAGGGTCAATTGTGGTATAGGCAGCCAGAATAAAAGAGATGTGTGAAAGAATCTGGTCAAATCATGAATTTCCTGAGCCATTGTGTTCATGTCCTAGGAGCAATGCTCCATTACAGTAACCTGCTCTGTCAGTGCTGCTGTGACCACTACCATTGGTTATTTGCCTGACAGCTTTCACCAATTGTCTGGAAAGAGCACCATCTCCACATGAACTTGGAGAACATATTCAAAAACTTAAGGCATGTTGTAGAATTTGTCCAAGCAACTACACTTTATAGCGATGATACAAAGAAATGTTGCAAAGCATCAGCATGTACCTTCTCTTTAAAAAGTGCAGGTTGTTTTAAGTTGAGTCACCAATGACCAATATTCATCCATAATCAGCAAGGTACCAATAAACCACACAAGCTATGCTGTCAACTCATCAATGAAATAATTAAGTTACAAACATCAATTTTACTCCAGCCTCTTGCTGATATTATTGATAGCACTTTGTACCTATTTTCAACACAAGCTGAATTTGAACCTATCAGTTCCCGTGTATAAGTGTGTAGTAACATGTTTTCCTAACGTTTTATCTTACCTTTTACATATTATCTGGAATTTCTGGGGAGGTCCTGTCAAAGGAGTTTGGTAGAATTGATGGAGTTATAGTGGCAGGTTTTGAAAAAACACATTATGCCAGCCATTTTCTAAACTCCTGGACAATAAAAATTATAGAAAAACTATAGTATTCATTAAAAGTCATAATTTGTCTTACCCAGCTGGAGACCTTATTTTCAACATTCAGCATACCAGAGAGTCCATCTTTTATGGAGCTATACATTTTTTCTGAGAAACCAACTGGAAAGGATTTGCATTGAAAAAGCTTTGGTGGAATTTTAACTAAGTATTATGAAGCTACTGTGAAAATATTGTTTATTATTTTCATTGCAGTCATAGCCTTCAAGTGAATGGGAAAATAAATCAAACTGAAGTTCATTGACACTATACACTGAATGATATCAGGTGTAAGTCAATCCCAAGATAATTAAGTTTCTAATACTTGATAAGATAAGCAATATGTGGAATATAATATAATTTTTGATAGCTCATTCAAATGATAAAAATTGTCATGACATATATTTGATATTTCAGAGATGAGAAAGTTTTTCTGTATATATTTGGGTGAATCATAATTAACTGTCATCAACAGTGTGCAGTTTTCTAGAATTCTTTTAATATTGAATTCATTAGTTCTGTTAGGGCTACAGTAGGCATTAAATGGACCATATATCCATCCCAACGTGTTAATTTATAGACCCTTGGAAAAACAATGTAATTTGAACCGTTCTATGAGCCATTTGCATAGGTGAAAGCATTACTATAGCAGTCAGAATTAAAATGTAATTGTTCTCTACATTAGCAATACATATTAAATATAATCCTGTTTCAAAGCACACCAGTAATGACCATGAGAACAGCTTTTTTATTGTATTACAGTTATTAGTACAAATTTGATTATCATGATTAATATTAAATGCAAAAATATGTAACTGGAGATACAAGATATTGTCATCTTTTGAATCATCTTGAATATTTATCATATTCTTGTATTTTCTTTCTTATTAAGGTCTTTCTACACAGGTACAACTTCATTTGCTTAATTGTTTGTGCCCCCTCTGACTTCATGTCATTGTACTTCAACAGTTGTACAGTCAGGTTTAATTATATTCTATTGTTTCATGTCAAAAGTATTAATGTAGACTAGAGTAAAACTAAATATATCTGTTTCTTCAGGTTGATTCCAATCCTTGACGTTTTTAAACTGCTACATACCTGCACTTGTGTCAAACTAGACTGTTTATCTAAAATGATCTACTAAGTGTACACTTATAATCTGATGAGGTATTGGGGTTCGATTACAGGTTAATCCATTATAATCATGCTGTATTTTGTTAACCTATCTAATCAGATAAACTGGCTACAGACTTCTATAATATGTTGATGTAATAATAATGCACTGTTGTAGATAAAGTGTACTGTATCTGATGGTTAGAAAACTTTTAAAATGGTTATATGTTAGAAGACTTTAGTGTAAAATATTTTTGGAAAATTTGAAATATATTTGCTTTTGTAAAAGTTCATAACTACAGCTGTCATTTTTCCTATTATCACAACGTATTTACAATACAGGTCGTTTACCTATTCGTAGAATTTACACTTGACACAGAGATAATAACCTGTTAGATCTGGATTATGGAAGTTTATTTTCTTGACTGCTATTTATTGAAGATTGTGAATAGAGATCCAAAACCAATCCCATCCAATAAGATGGTTAATTGAAAGTAAAACAGAACTATATGACATAAGTTTGGCTCTAAGTGTTATACAATTTTTTTCAATGATTTATCATTTATAAAATATGTCACTGAAATGTCCACAATAACAGCGCAAAAGCTTCAAACTCTTTCCCCTTACCCTTCAACTGTATGAAACAATGCTGATACACTTGATCTTCCCTACACCTGAAGATGTAAGGATCAGAATAACTTCTCTGAAAAAGTTAATTACACAGCTCTGGAGCTGGTGGGACTTAAACCAAAACCTTGTGAGTCAGAGGTAGAGACACTACCATTGTGGTCCAACAGCCCCTTAAAACACTAACATTAACAGTATTGATATTTTCTAATCAGCCTATTCAGACATGTCATTACACACCTCTGCAACAGTGGGCCCAGGCCTCCTGGCTTAGACTTAGGAACATGCTACTGCACGGAATAAGCCATCACAGGGCAATGGATGGCCACTCCCCTCGATTTATTTCTTCCTGCAATGGTGTTGAGATCTATGTCTACCTGTCATGACAGATGGAGATTTTGGAGCCATTTCTGCTAGAAGTTGCAAAAGCTGACTCATGGCCTTTAGAGATAACGTAGTGTGGAGCTGGAGGACACAGCAAGCCAAGCAGCATCAGAGGAGCAGGAAAGCTGATGTTTCAGAAATTTTTGAAGAAAGGTCCCTACCCGAAACATCAGCTTCCCTGCTCCTCTGATGATTGTTGCTGACATTTGCATCTTCATGATCTCTTTTCCAGTCTGTCGGAATGACACACAATGCTCATGACCAAAAGATGTGCATCACTTAATCACCCTTACCTCTCCTGCCCTGCACCTCTGGCTCTCACAAGTTATGTGTTCTCTTCTCTTGCAGGGAGAGGAATCAGGACAATGTGAATGTTGGTAATGTGTAGTGGAGAGAAAGACACAATTTGCAGAGGGTCACATAGGCAAGAGAGAGTAACTGGATGAGAGTGAATGAGTGTTGACTATTCAGATTTTTTAAATTCCCTTGAGGGATATGCACATTGCTGGTTGGCCAGCATTGTTTTTTTTTATTGCCCATCTCTAGTTGCCCTTTAGAAGTGGTGATAAGCTGCATTCTCGAGTCACTGCAATCCACCTAGGTAGGACTGCTGCTTTCAGTTGATCCATAATGCCCTTAGGGTGGGAATTCCAGGATTTTGACCCAGCAACAATGAAGGAGAAGCAATATATTTCCAAGTCCAGATGGTGAGTGGCTTGAAGGGGAACTTGCAGGTGATAGTGTTCCCATCGAAATGTGAGGAGCTGTCCATGGAAAGAGAGGAATGAGTAGAGTGGAAGGTGCATTGAGATGATGAGTGATGTAAGGAGAATGCTGGCCAAGTCAGAGAATGGGATTGGCACCTAACCGCATTATGGCACTCAACTGACATTACCCTCCTGAGGGCCTCTTGGTAACCATTTCCAAGTTGGAGGGAACACATTCAGACTGATTAGTTCTTTCGCCATTATCATCCATGCTGTTTGACTGGAGAGACCATTTTCTTCTTCCTTTTCTGAGAAAAAATGTATTTGTCATAGAGGAAGTAGAGCAAATGCTTACCAACCTGATTCCTGGGAGGTTTGTTATATGAGGCGTGATTTGGTCAGTTGGGCCTGTAGTCATTGGAATTTAGAAAATTGAGAGGGGAGCTCATTGGAAAATATAAAACTTTGACAGGGTTGGACAGACTAGATGCAAGGATGCTTCTTCTGGCCGGGAGCTTCAGAACAAGAGACCATGGTCTCAGGATATGAGATGAGGAGAAATTTTGCCTTTCAGAGATTGGTGAACTTGTGAAATTTTCTACCAAAAAACACTGTCGAGATCCAAGTTAATGAACATGTTTAGGAAATAAATTTCTAGAGACTTAAGCTGTCACAGTGTGGGAAGAGAGGAGGGGTATGCCAGTTAGATAGAGGATCAGCCATGATCATGTTGAATATTCAAGTGGGCTGAATAGTGTTACTCCACTTATTTTCTATGTTTCCTGACTTTGGAGGGTTTGCCTCAATTGCAGCTCCTGAGGTCCCTCAGCTGCATCTCAAGCTTTGGAACAAGAGACTTCAAGTGATAGGCAGCTGTCCCAGGTCTCCTTTTCATTCCTGTGTGTTCCACAGCCTTGAAAATCCAATTGCTGCCAAACATTGCTGAAACATCCATGATCCCTTTAACAGAAATCTTTCTTCTGCCAAAATGGATGCATCGCTCCTACTTGATCAGGGAATCCGGAGACAAGTTCATAATTAGTTTGTTCTAGGAAAAAGGCAACTGTAATGCTCACTAACAGGTGAGGTCAGATTTGTGACGTGAAAATGCCTCCACCACTGTACTAGAGATTGAGGCCGATGGGTCTTGCCATTGGGACAGGTTCACAGTAGGGAATAACTGACACAAAAACAAAGTTGCTGGAAAAGCTCAGCAGGTCTGGCAGCATCTGTGAAGGATAAAACGGAGTTAACGTTTTGGGTCTGTTGACCCTTCCTCAGAAGTGCCAGCATTCTCCTTACAATGTTAGTTGGAACATACTGTTGTGCAAAATATTGCATTTCTTTGGTGATGTGGGATTTGGGGGACCAAGTATCATCAATCCTTATGCATTTATAATTGTACTACATTTGCATGAGTTGGCTTGTGCAGCATACATCTGAATAAGAACTAATATGTCAGATATCCATGTAAAGACATCCCATGGGCCCTCTTTTTGATGGCCTCCACATCCTTCCTATCGTATTGAGTAGTCTTGTTAGTATCTGCTGTAACTGCTGACTAATTACATTACTAAGGAAGTGTTATGTTTCTGATGCTCCCCACACAGGATCATCAGAACTATCAGCAGTGGATCTAGCCACAGTTGGTGCTGTCATCACTGCAGCCAAACTGTTCAACAAAGGAGCAGAGAAATTGAAAAGGCATCAAGGTGAAGGTGACATAATAAAACAATCAACGGAAGGGTATGCAGCCATATGTAAAAATAACTTTGCCTACACTTACACTGGAGTAGCAGCAACCTTAAGCAGCTACGAAACAACCTCCACATGAAGAAGTTTCGGCAGAAGGTTCCCTCAGACTGCGGAGGAGTTTCAAGTGGTCAGGTGTTTACAGACCTTGCTGTCATTTCCTCCAGGTGAACGAAGATCAATGCAGTTCATGTACCCTGGAAGCTGTCATGATGGTTATATCTTCAATAACTCTCAGGTTTTTGTTTCTTTTCAAGGGTTGGATGACTTACAAGGGAGACGAGGCAACCATGGTTGATGACATTGCTGCATAATCCCTGACTGAGGCTCTGTGTAGATACAATGCAGCCCAGTCTTCCACTAGACCTCTGATATATTAATCCTCATTTAAGATATAGGCTGCTCAAGCCATCTCATTCAAATGTACTATGATTATAAATGCATAAGCATTAATGATACCTGGTCCTCAGCTGCCACATTACCAAAGAAGTGCAATATTTTGTACAGAGCATGTTCTGACTTACTTTCAGTTCATTGTGAGAGGGAACAGCTCTGTGTCCTTGTGAAGCTCTTTGGAGTGAGATGGGACAATACCATGATGATTGTGGAGAAGATAGCCCTCCTGAAGGTGAGGGTCCAATGCTAGAATCAATATGGACAGCATTGCAGTACAGTCCAAAATGAGTAAGCCAATAATCATTGCATGCTATGTTCTGCACAAGAAGAACAAGCAAAGAGGGAATTTTGATAAACACCGAAGAACTGGGAGAGAAGCAGCAGCCTGAGGTGTAAGAAGCCTGACAGAATTTAATTGACATCCACTTTCAATAGATCTGAGTTGGGTGAAGATATTATTCAATGACAGTAAGTTTCTTGATGCTCCAAACGCAAACAGTCCCTGTTTAGTCACAAAAGTAAATGTTGCTTTTCTGTTTGTTTTTTTTCTTATGTTAGGGAAAGAGTAACTCTCCTTCAGACAGAGTTTTAATGTCATATAGCATTGGGGAAGGGTAGCTTTTGTAGGTTCATTCTTGTAGCTGCAGCTAAAATGACAGTCAATGAGACAAGTGATGATTTAAAGTGCCAATATGTATAGATGCCACTTCAAAGTCCTTGAGAAATACCATCAATGCTGTTTGAGGTGTAATTTCTGCCTCAGTTGGGAGGACAGGCATTCTAACGTGTATTCTTGAAGCAGCCAATAGCACCAGCATCAAGGCCATGATCATCTAAAGCCAACTTCAGTAAGCTGGCCACATGCTTAGGATGTCTGAGTTCCAAATATCTTCTTTCTACTTACCTCCTGTCATTGGACAGCATCAGTGGCAGCAAGTTGTGCCCCAGTGCAGACTGTCAAGATGATAGTTGAGTAGCAGCACAGCAAGTGGGCTCCTAAGCCCAGGAACCTGGAGCTTGTCTGCTCCGTCTGCTCCATCTGCTTTTACCTTTTCTTCACTTCAACCTTACTAACCTTCTATGAAGAGCTCAGCCAGCACTGAGGTGCCCAGTGCACTGGAGGCAAGGCTTGTTCCTGATGGCTGTGGCAGCGAGGGAGTCAAGTTTGTGCCCCTGGCAGTGGCAGACGGTGACAAGTTTGGGCCCACTGTCTGGGACTGGGCAGCTTCAGCAGCAGTTGCATTGCCGAGATTGGCCCAGTGCAGGCTTACAGCAGCGGAATCATCATTCAAGACAAGATGGCACCAAGGAATGATGACATGGTTCAGCGGCAGTGCAGTGAAAGGACTCGAGACTGGCCAACTGCTTCATGCTGGTGATGTGTCGGGTTGGAAGATCCAGGCCCATGGATAAGCACTTAAA